TCAAGAATCTTTTTTGTTTGATTTGTTTTGTTTTGTTTTACGGCATATCAACCTCAATGGGTTATTTAATGCCGACAAAATTTTTATTGCTGGTAATATGTTTTTCTTCAAAAATCTATTTCTGGGAATATTTTTTCTTGAAGAAATCTACAGCTGGTCATATTTTTTTCAAAGAATGTGTAGTTGTTTGTATTGCTGGTATTCTTTTAAGTACTGCTGATAATTTTTCTTTCAAAAATATATTGCTGGTAATAATTTTTTTATTACAAAGTATTTCTGGTATTAAAACCTATTTTTACACAAGTTTGGGGTCAACTATTTTCCCATAGCTGAGACCCTAACAGGTGCTACCACCCTGCGTCAAGGTGGACCTGGGAACACCAGCAATTAAGAGGTGGTTCCACGCTCCTCAAAACCTCCTGATCGGAGGCCTTGCTGTTGGAAGTTATTTATCGTCATACCCAGGACTCGGATATAGTTTATTGTCATACACAGGACTGGAATTGTTTTGTTTTTTTTTAATTTTAATGATAAATCAAAAGAACAAATGATAATCAAAAGGAGAAAATCAAAAAAAAAAAAAAAAAATGGTAAGAAAGAAGAAAGGGAAGATAGAGGAGATTATGACATTTTCGCGCGCTTAATGTTTGCTTCGGTGAGAGGAAAAACATTGTTTGATTTTGAATCTTTTCTATTGCTTCTTTAAATAATGGTCTGCCTTCACACTTCAGATTGCTAAATATATGACAACCAGGGAAAAAATCTACTTTTATGTCAATTTTCTAAGACTAGCTTAAAAGCGACACACAGTCGAAAGTATAGAGTAACCAGTAAAGATCGAACTCACTACTGATTCGTAATTGTCCTAGCGAGACAAGTTTACTAACAGTTACACGACATGGAGGATTATCTAAGCATAGCTTAGATGTGGAACAAAGGCGAAATTATGGAGCATCCAGTGAGTATCGAACGCTCTATACACTCATAATCGTTGTAGAGTAGTGGTTCTCAACCTTTTTTTACCCATAGACCACTTTTCCTTTTTTTCCTGGTGGACCACTTTTCCCTTTTTTTCCTGGTGAAACCCCTTTTCCCTTCTTTTTTCTTGGTGGACCCCTTTTCCAGTCTCTTTTTCTTTAATTTTTATTTTCCAATATCTTGTATTACAATATCACAATGTTTCTGTTATGGTTAAGGCCATGGGGAGCAGATATTTTCAGGCAACTGAATTCACTGCAGCTTTCATTTATGCATACTGAAATGAATCATTCATATATATATATATATATATATATATATATATATATATATATATATATATTTCAGTATTGTGTAAATTACAGTAGAAATTTAATTTTTAATAATAAAACCATTGGCTTTCTTCATGGACCACCAAAATATTATTGTTGACCCTCAATTTGTAATATTTTGCCTGTGGACTCCCAGAAATATTACATGGACACCTAGGGCCCATGTTGATTCCGGTCGAGAACCCCTGTTCTAGAGAGAGAAGTTCGCTAAAATTTACACCACCTCGGAGTGCCCAAATCTTTTTTCTAAGCCTAGCTTAAATGTGGAACAAGGCTGAATGTATGGGGAGCCTAATGATGATCGAACTCACTATTCAGTCTTAACTGATCTAGCGGGACAAATTTGCTAATCATTAAACCACATAGATGTGCCCCCTTTTTATCTCGATATGTATCTTTAATCAAAAACGTGTCACCAGGAGAAAAAAATAAGGATTTGATTTAAAGATTTGAAATAAATGATGATATATTTACAATTCCGGTGGATTACCACCCAAATTTAAATCAAATAATTATAATTGTCATTGCAATAATATCTTAAATCTGTTAAGCTTGAATATCTAATACGGCAATTTCCACGGGTATTATACAGTCAGTCTCGAAAATCGTAATGAGCTTATTTAATCATTAAATATAGAATAATCATTCGTCAGAAAATTCAACTCAGAAAACAAGAAAATATTGGAAAAGTCTATAATTATTCACAGTAAATGCAATTGATATAAGGAACAAATCATATTTACTTGGACGTATAGTATGCTTTGGTTGATTTTGCTGAGCGGCATACCAACACCTCTATGGGTTATTTAATGCCAAAATCTAAATATTCTGAACACGATTTTCTGTGCTCAACTAAATATATTTTGAACGTAATAGTATGAGTTTATGACTGAGTTTGTGGGTGCGTGGCCGAGTGGTTGAAACGTTCGCATTCTGACCATGAGACTAGGGTTCGAATCTCACCATGGTCGATTTTTCAGTAAGGAGACTTTCTGATGTTCTGGAGGAGTCTATCCCAGCGGGTGGAACCTTTGGAAAGTGCCTGACAACCATACCACTGGTTGACCCGAGCCTTGTGAGTGAAATTGGGTAGATAGAACCCTTTGCGGTCGTCGATAGTTGTGCTAATACCAAAGTCACAAGTCATCGTGGCCGAGGGTTTGAGCGTGCTGGCCTAGATAACACGCTATTTCCCAGAAACCGTAACTAAGGTCTGCTCAGGATAGTTGCAGTATAAACCACAGGTGGGCTCTGTGGCTGTTGAATAAACACAAATGCGCTTTAGCAAGCATCTGCAATAGAGATTGGCTCGCCGACCTAGTGGACAGGAATCCTTGAATACGATTGGCCAGTTATACATATGACTTCGAATACAGATAAAATGTATTGTTGGTCATTTTTATATAAAATGTATTGCTGTTCATTTACTATAAAATGTATTGCTTGTCATTTTACTTTGAAAATTTATTGGTGGCATTTTTACTATAAATAGATATTGTTCGTACTTTTTTAATATTAAAATGTATTTTAATTCTTTCATGGTGTTTTTCGTTTGTTTGTTTGTGAATTCTCTATTTGCCCGTAGCTGGGACCCTAAAAGGTGCTACCACCCTGGTTCAGGGTGTCCCTGAGAACAACAGCAATTAATAGGTGGTTCTATGCTCTTCAAAGCCTCCAATCTCCTTGCTGCCGGGAGTAATTTATCGTCATACCCAAGACTATGGACGCTTGGTAAATATTGACGGGAATGTTACAAACCAGACGACATTTTTATATGCTCTGTGTGATTTCAATTTTTTTACTAACATTCGCCTAATACAAGGGTCAAGTGTCACTCAAGGTAGAGCGTTCTTGAAGTGTGATATGAATGTCCTTTAGTGATAAACTCAATTAAATCTGAATGTCATCCAAAAGCTTATTTATTTTAACGATTTTAATTTTAAATGTAAACTTGTTAAAATAATCAGTTCCCTTTGACTTAATGGGCTTTATTTATACAGTTTTCCTAACCGTCGTAGCATTTAGGTTGATTATGTAGCTCCAGCGATTCCTTTTAATTGAGATAAATTCCTGGAAAAAAATTCTAGTATGTTTTCCCGTTGTATTCTTCACGACTTTGAACTCAGAATTGTGTTTTTTTCTAGCTTAACTGTCACAGGAGTATTAAGAGCCCATTCTACACTGCTATTTATCTCGTAGCGAGACGTGTTCATGCCTTTCCTAAAGGCTGTTTTTAGTAAGTGAGCGGAAGAGTTTAGGCTAGAATTTAAACTCGATTCTCAGTTTCCAGTTTTAGGGACGTTAATCATTTCATTGACAGCACTATCAACATAATGTTTAAACGGCAAACAAGACAGACAAATCGAAACCAGATTTCAGAAAGTCAATACATTCAGTTACCAACTTGTTCCTCTTCTAAAACATCCTAGCATTTCCATGAGCACTAAAGTAAATTTCATCAACGCCATTTTCCTACCAACATACCAGTGCCAGACATGGCCCCTAACAAAAGCTTTGAGAGGAAACTGATCACTTGTGAGATAAAATGCCTGAGGAAAGCAGTGAACAAGACCAGGCAAGACAAGATCAGGAATGAGGCAGTAAGAGGTATGGTAGGAGCAATACCAATCATACAACACATCGAACGATAGTGGATCAAGTCGTTCGGACACCTTATCAACCAACCAGCCCTACGAGCATACATCTTCAGGTAATCTGGCTGGAGAGCGAGATGCAGGCCAAGAAAACGCTGAAGCGACACAGTGGCAGACACTTTCAGAGCCCACGATATATCTCTCCACCAGGCCACTCGCTTTGCCAATGACAGACGACTATTTCCCTCTTCAACGCCTAACAATCAAAAGAGGAAGGAAAAACTAAACTAAAACGAAATATCGGCATAATGCCCAAATAAGCATTTGTAATTTATTCCTTAAACCTGGTGCAAACTGGTGATTTCGTAAATTATGGAAACTAGCTCACCTACAAGGCAGACTGAATATCGTGACCTATTAATGTTAGTTCAGTTGAAGAATTTTGTTAAATTGTGTTTATTTTATTTCAACTTTAAAATCGGCTAATCAGACTCGACCCCGGACAGAGTAACGACAAGATAACGATTAAAATTTAATAATTGATTCTCTAAGCACCGGTGTGTTTTTTTTTTATTTTTAATCTTTCGTTCGATGAGTTCTTATTTCTCTTGCATATCTTTGTATATGTCTTTTTGCGTTTCCTCACCGAGTAAAGACGATGAAACATAGAATTGTCTCGTCAATCTCGTAAATCATTCGCACGATGCCTTGGTGTCTCAAGACTTTGGCCTTTTGCCTTCCAAATGTTCATTTTTAAAAAATATTTTAGCAAATGTGATATGTTTTCTATAATTATTATTTTATGAAGTCTTGTACGGCTTCGATTGTTAATCGATTGACTGATTTGTTATTTTTACGGTTTACCAACCTTTTGCATGTTTAAAAAACATACTTTACATTGTTTTGGAGATCATTATTTACTCATAAAAAAAACTAACTAATTAGCCCATAGCTGGGGGAGATGAGGTGGAATCATGCCTTTCCAAAGGATATTAACGCGTAAATGAATATAGCGAACCCAACTGGAACTGGAATTCAGTTCTTTGATTTCCATTTTCGAGCCGTTATCTCTTTGAGCACCAACTCATTCAAGCTTACAGTATCCGGTACCCTGAAGCAGTCACCCATCTCGGTACTGACCAGGCTCGATGATGCTTAACTTCAGTGATCATACGAGAACTGGTGTTTTAACGTGTCTTGACCATAAGCCGGAACCATGTAAAAATATCATTTCTACCTGGCATTGCTAGTCAAAGGATATATATATATATATATATATATATATATATATATATATATATATATATATATATATATATATATATATATATATATATATATATATAAATATAATTATTTTTTTACATAAACATGTTTCAAAATGGAAGCTAAATGTAATTAAATTCGGGGCTTTTAGCTTCAATTTTGAAACATGGTTAGAACTGTGTATTCAAAATATTTTAAATCAATTAATTTATAATATTAATGCTCTATAAATTTACATTGAACACTATTTTGTAAAAAATAAAAATATCTATAAGAACACCGGATTATATATCTTACTGTTCTTTCTTTATATATATATATATATATATATATATATAAATTCTTTTCGTTCTTTTATATATATATATATATATATATATATATATATATATATATTTTTTCGTTCTTTTATATATATATATATATATATATATATATATATATATAAATTCTTTTCGTTCTTTTTTATATATATATATATATATATATATATATATATATATATATATATATATATATATTAGGGTAGGTCGATTTTGAACTATAAAAGAATAACTCGTGGAAAGTTGCAAAATAACGTCAAAAATTACCACAAAAAAAATTTTTTATTCAAAACTTTGTATTTATTTGAGCAATCGAACTTAAAGACAAAATAAATTGCGAATTTTTTCATCATAACGGTGTCACCGGAGACATGTGTATGTTAAATTAAAACCGGGTCTTAAAAAAAAAAAAGAAAATAACGCTTAATAATGGATATTTTTGAGTTTATTATATATTCTCTTATTAAATTAAATGAAATTACTACAAATAAAAAATAAAACACACTAAAAATATTTAGTTTAAAATACAAATAACTACTCATGAACGGCGTCGTTTTTACTGGATATTTTTTTGGTATTTACCGGTAGTAATTACCTCCTCTTGTACGTTCGTTTTATTTTTGTTTAGGCTTTTAACTAGCGCAAATATCTACTTTATTTTTCATCAAAATATACTTAACTATTTAAAAAAATACAACTTTTATAATTATTGTAATTTGTTTATATTTTGAAAATTAATGTTTTATTAAAAAGCCTGTTTACAAGCTAATCCCGGAACTAACTTTTATATAAACATTACTTTTTTAATTTAATAATGCATTTCAAGCTTTATTTTCCAATTTATTTTGAAAAATATTTTTGTATAATTTCTGATAATACATATATTTTCTTTGTCAGATATTTTAATAAAAATGGCAGGAAAAAACATCCTGAAGGGTTTTAAGATACAGTGAAATTTTGATAAGGCTATATATCGGCTAGCCTTATCAAAATTCCACGGTATGCTGTTGAATTGATCAGGGGTGATGTATCTTACAATCTTAGAGCCAGCCTTGCCAGTGCATTGCGCTTGGATTTGAGGTCTATGGGCTTTCTCATCCCCAATATTAATATAAAAAGATATTTATATTGATAAATGTAAAATTGATAGAGCAAAGGTTAAAGTGAAAAAAGTGATGTTTTGCATGAATTCAACAGTGCGAGCACTATCAAGGCTATCCTTGTTGACAAACACTAATGCCAATTCAGGCTGTGAAGGTGCACCTCTAGAAAGAAAACTTAACAGAAATCTTCATACTATTGGTTGCTCCTTGCACCAAAATAAACTTCCATTTAGAGCTCTTTTTAAACATGTAGATGGTACCACAAAAAAAGCCCTGCCACATTCAATGGTCCACTTGGAAGATTACGTGCAAATGATTACCATAATTTACCCCAAATATCATTTTCAGCTGTTGGCAGTCCTTTTAAAATTGAAAATGCAGATACCCTTAGTTGTGACCAAAGACTCCTTTATGAATATACAGTGGGTATTTGTAGAGGAAAGGTAGACTTTAGATTTGCATCATGGAAAATTGGTCCATTAAACCAGTCAAGGTGGTTAACTTTAGGCATCAGTCTGATGTGCTTATGGACTCATGGTGCATACCCACGAAATATTTCAACCAAACTCCACAGTTTAATAAATTTTATTGTGAATGTGTATGCCATTTGCCAGTTCCAAAATAAAAGAAATAACAAGTTCCACAATCAGCAAATGTATATTTTCAATATGATCCAAAGGATTAGAAAGCAACCATATGAAATCCAACAGATCACATTGAAAAATATACAATACAATGCTTTCGCCTTACTGCCTGAAAATATCTTATATTCAATGGTCAAATCTGATGAACGGGAAGTGAGGGAAGAAGCTATAAAAAATTTTTTGGCTATTAGGTTAGTAAATATTTATTCATATAAAATTGACTAAATTAGTTATACCGATTTATGGAATCATTTTAAGGATTTTATCTAATTTCACCATAAATATTAAAGCAGTACAGAGTGCAATTTTTTTAAAGATAAATCAAATTAATTTTTATATTCTTTCAAGAGTGGGGAACAAACCAAGAAAAAATTAAAAAGAATCACAACTATCAATTTTAGAGCTATGCACTGGAGATAGTTAAAAGATCTGTCATTAAGTGGAATTTGTGAACCACCACTCACAGAAGAATTTTCTGAAAATGAACTTCGGGAATAATTATTAAATTTGCCCTCACATTCTCAAGGCATGGAACGGGCAGTCAAGTTAACAACAGAAGCTTCCCAATCTGTGTATGGCTTTAAAGCAAGGCACCAGAACATAATATCAAAAGCTTTGTGTCAGAAATTGTGACCATCAATTTCATCTGAGGGTTCTTATATGGAACTATTTGACTCTATATATTAAGCCCTATTAAACTATTCTTTATTTTTTCATATTTGTGTGTTTGTTGTATTTTCATTCAAACTAGAAAAAAATCAATTTTTTAATGTATTCAACTAATACTGCTTAATTCTTGAGGTAAAAACAGCATTTCAAAATCATCAGTGATAGGGGAGGGGCAAATTTTCAATTTGAAGTTTATTTATAATTTCTACATTTTATTTCATTTTTCTAAAACAAAATAACAACATTCCCTGATTTAAATAGTGAAATTGTTTGTTTTTTTATCAATATTTAGTCTAAATCTTGCAAAATCGTGGATTTTTCAGTGGTTTTTTGTTTACGATCTTTGATGCCAAATGCTCAAAAAACCGTTGAAGTGACAAATCTAATTTTTTGTATCAGTACTTAATTGGTCTATACACAACTTTCCGTACATTATTCTTTTTGATATTTAAAAAAGATAAAATCGACCTACCTAATATATATATATATATATATATATATATATATATATATATATATATATATATATATATAAGAACGAAAAGAATTTAGATTCAAACGTTCCTGACATTAATTAAAAAAAGGGCTCAATACAAGAGTAGATCAATAAATATTTATTATAAACTGTTACTTTGGAAGTTACCACGAAAAATACATATTTGTTTCGATGTCAACTTTAGACATCTCATCAGGTGGTTAACATTAGTGGTAATTAGATTAATACCAATTTTACCACCTCATGAGATGTCTAAATTAGACATCGAAAAAATATGCATTTTTGTCGTAGTAATTATCATGTTCTAATGTAACAGTTCATTATATATATATATATATATATATATATATATATATATATATATATATATATATATATATATATATATAATTATTTATTTTAAAAATATTTATAACATAAATATATTATAAAATCACTACAAAAATAGCCATTTTGTTTCAACACCCTCGGTGTCTTATCAAGTGATGATGTTGAATGTAAAATAAATTGTTTTAAAAGTTTCAAATTAATTAACAATCCTTCGCAAAAGGAAAACGTTGTTACAAAAGCTAGATTGATCATCAAAATACAAATATAAGAAAATTCAAAAAGCTTGACAACGAAGTCATGTTATAATAGTTATTCAGATCTTTAAAATGTGGGTAATATTAGAAAAGAATTTATTCTAACCAATAATTACTAAATTATATGATAAAATTTAATATTGAAATTAAAAACTACCAATTTCAAAATCCAAATTTAATCGCTATTAAGATTACAACCATAAAATTACTGAGGAGAAAAGAAGAAATACATGTTATTCAATTTATTTCTTCATTAAAATTACGTTAGATGCTAATGTTATTATTTGTATTGAGCACTCTTTTAAGAATTGTAATTGTTGGTTATTGGAATTCATTCCGTATACACCAATCATATACTTGTATATATATATATATATATATATATATATATATATATATATATATATATATATATATAATAAAAAATAATATTCCATGGTCACATTTATTCCAAAATGAAAACAGAAAAACAACAGTTGTTTTTTTTCTGTTTTCCATTTTGAATTTGTAGGTCTGATGATTTGATCAGATTTACGATTCCAATGGAATAAATTATGAAAATGGAATATTAGTTTTTTCTGTTTTATTATATCCTTACTCTGTCTTAGACATTGAGTTCTACCTGGATCCTTCCTCTTGGAAAAATTTTTTTTTTTCTGAAAATATACATGTATGGGAATTTTTTAGATATATTTTTCATATGTATGTATATTTTCCACTAATATTATATATATATATATATATATATATATATATATATATATATATATATATATATATATATATATAAGGGAGAATAACCAGCTTCGAAACAAAAACATGTTCCTCTGAACATAGTCAACTTACGAGCAGAAGTAGAGATTTATTTTATATTTCCCATGATTGTGTTTTCGTATTAGCAAATTCTGTTATTTGTGGTTCACCATTTTTGTTCTTGTTTTTTTTCCAAGTATTTGAAATTATCCCTGTTAGATAATTGCTGTTCATGCCTGTGGTTACGACGCTTTGTGAAATCGGGAAATTTCGGATTTATCTTCATACCTTCGCGATGAACGTATTACAATTGACATTGTTCATTACAGAAACTTCACTCAGACCATAATTTAAT